TTGGACGAAGTGGGATTCCTCTTAATGTTTCCTCTGAATACTGTAGGGGTGCCTCAGTTTCCCCTATGCATTTCTTAAGTCGCTAGGTGGTGGATAAGGGAGTGTGATGGTTGCAGAGCAAAGGGCCAGTGCACATAAATGGCCGACACTCTGTCTCCTGGCAAGGTGATAGCTAAAGGTGTTGGAGAACAAAGAGATCAGGTGACCTCCTGGCCCGGGAAAGGGACAAAGCCCAGAGGAGGAGGGGCTGGAGGGCGAGTCAGTTTGGAGCTGTCTGGGGACTAGGAGTGAGGGCAGACGGGGGTGTCTGGCTCATGGGACCCCAGAATGGACCCATCTGAGGGATCCCGTTCTCTGGACCTACAAGCTCTGTTTTAGACGATGTTCCTGTCATCTAATAAACCTCTGTTTTACTGGCTGGCTGAGAGTCACGTCTGACTGCGAAGTGGGGGTGCAGGACCCTTTGGCTTCCCCAGGACCCCGCCTGGGCGGACTCGCTGTGGGAAGCGCACGGAGGGGCAGATGCTGAATGCTCCAAGGAGAGACCCAGGAAGGTGAAGCCGTGTGAGCTTCTTGCCCTGAAGACGGTCTGCTCTGAGGGAGAGGAGGCTCCCCAAAGTCCTGACTGGCTTTGTGGGGAGCAGTTCCAGAGCATCGCCCGGGGACTCCGGGACAGGTGGTCCCAGGGAAGGGGCTGGTGAGGAGAGGGGACAGGAGGCAGGAGCGCTGCCAGCTTTTTTGACGCTCTAGGCGGCAGAAGGTCCCGCCCCCGAAATACTGACAACGACCAGGGCGGCTGAAGATCCGGCCACCGCGGTCGCGGACCCCAAATGTTAGCGCCCTAGGCGACCGTCTAGGTCGCCTAATGGGTTGCGCCAGCCCTGACAGGAGGGAGGTAGTGGGGGGTGAAGGGGCGGTCCCCGGGCAAGGGGTCGGGGAGCACGTTGGGGGGGGGAAGGGGGCAGGGAGAGGTAAGGGGGAGAGGGGACAGGAAGGGGGTGGGGGACGGGGTAGTAGGAGGCGAAGGGGTGGTCCTGGGGGGAGTGTTGGACGGGGGTCCTGGGGAAGGGGCGGGGAGAAGCAGGGGGGAGAGGGGGCAGGAGGGGGGTAGTGGGGGTTGGGGAGCGGTCGAGGGGGGGCAGTGGGAAAGGTGGCGGTGAACGGGTCCCAGGGGTAGAGGGGACAGGAGGG